TTAAATATAATTTTAAAAATATTGTTAAATATTATTAAAGTCAGCACGGGTATGTAGCTAATACTAAATATGACACTGATAATATTTGTACTACTTCATTAAATGTAGTTTAAATTTGAATTAATAAATAAAATTAGCAAGCTTAATTCAAATGAATAAATTAAAATTATTAAAATTAAATCTTACCAAAGTCACTAGATTGGTAGGTTCTAATATTTATGAAAGTTAATTTTCTGCTAAGTACAGAATAGAACAATGTTGCAAGATACATTTATGGAATTCATAAAGAAATAGAAGCATATCCAACAGAATAATTGGTAAACAAATATTATAAGAATTTTGGTCCGTTACTAATGAATTGTTTAGTAATTACTAAGTAGCTACAGACCAGTTCTGACATTGGTAACTAATACAATACTTACAATTATTTTAGTGAAATGCTGATAAAAAAGTTATTGCATCAGCATCTTACATATTATTTAAAAACCAAAATAAATGATTGAAAAAAATATTTTCATTTTGTATTTTTATCATTTATATGAAAGATTAAAATACGATATAATTGAATTAATCTCATCAATTAATGTTTAATTGTTTTAATTTAAAATGTGTTCAAATCCATCTAGTACAATTGACGTGTCGCCGAAAAAATTATAAAATTGATTTTTTATTATATGAAGGAATGAACATTCTAAAAGTAGATACTAATTTTTTTTTTTTTAAACTACAATGAATTTATTTATAATTATTATTGACAAATAATATCGTTAAACAATTCAGGCACATTTTTCTCTTCTCAGAGTGGTACGATTTAGGTCGTTTGGTCTATTTGTGGCACCCATTACTCTCTATCGTCTCGACCCGATCGGTTGGCGGCCCTCCGTGGTCGGCTGTGGCCGCCGCATTATGCGCCATCCGGTCATTGACCACCATCTCTTGGCGTAACCGGTCGCCGGCCGCTTTTCCAATGGCCGCAGCCTTCACGAGCGATTCGCGCTTTAGCCTCACCACTTCACGTAATCGCTCGTTCATGTCGTCCAACGCGGCCTCGCCACCGTCGTCGCCGGCCCGCAGAAGACCGTCAGCAAACTGCTCGAGCTCGGCCACCGCCCTRTTCGACGCGGCCGTCACGCGATCGTTGTTGGCCATAAACGCTTGCCGGGTCTCGGCCACCGCGTTCCGCGACCACTGAGCCACAGCTTCGCAGAGRCACGCGCGCCGTTCGATCTTGGTTCGCAACAACCGCACGAACGACTCGTCCCGGACGGCTGCCGACTCCATCCACTCGGCCAACTGTGCTGCGATCTCGGACGACCTCAGCCGGTAGTATTCTTCGCATGGCCCACCCATTGCGTGTTATATTTTCATGAAAATACCTAACCTATTAGTAGGTACCTAATATTATAAAAATCATTCGAAAACGGTTGTTTTGACGATATAACATTATACACATTTCGACTTGTGTTTATATAACAATAATGTGCGGTCGTCGAAGTAACGGAACGGGTTTACGGTCGTACTTATGAATCACCCGATTTAATCGATACAAATAATACGTATCGATAATATAACAAAACAAATAACAAGAATATACCTATTTAAATTCATTAGATAAACTAATTGACATATTTTAATCTCCTTCAAAGTATACCTAATGCTCCTTCTGAATCCATATTATACAGTTTTGGTAGTTTTTGATATTCAATGTACTGCACGAATATTTTTTAATTTATAGAAATTATAAATAAAATACTGTTGACAAGGCACACTCGAAATATATGCAATATGTTAATATGTTAAAGTTAAATAGTACTATAGAAGCAAGAAACCACCCAGTTTTATTAAATCGTATTTCTCATAATGTGTCGTGCGTTATKCACATCGCACGGCGTTACGTATAGGCAATATAGGTACATTATTGCGTCGAAAAACTTCATCAAACAAACTCCATAGCAATTAGCAAACCATCATCCGATATTTATTCGTCGAAAAAAAACATAAGGAAGCKCATAAGAATTTCTGGGTTTACTGTTGCGTTTATTATTATGTACATAATAGTTATTAGACAAAGTTTAAATGAAGAAAATCATGAAACCGTAAAATATGTAACAGTTATTATCATAATACTGGCGGCGTTATAATAATATGTTGATGCCTGAAATAGTGAAATG